TAGACCACTAAACGTAGTCTGTCTTAGCCTAAAAGTTCCCCTGAAAGCTATATACTATGGATCACCCTGCTGATATATGAAATATCAATGTAAAGCTTCCATCATAACAGCAACATGCAGGCCACCAGGGTATTGCAAATTGACAGACGAGTGCATACAGAACTTGGACAATGAATAAGGAAAACCAAAGAAATAATGTATTTTAATTATGGTGTTGGCGAAGAATATGGAATACTCATATACTAATGAGAATTAAGAAATCTGTTTTGGAAATGACAATGACCAGAGTTCATTTCATGTTTCATGTATTTTAGACATAATCGAAGGAGGGTCCAATCCCTGGAGAAGGACATCATGCGTGGTTAGAGGATCATCATAAAAGCATGAACATGCTCAACAATATGGATTGCCACAGTGAACTCAACGATGGATTAAACATAGAAAGGGCATCAGAAGGACTGTGAGGGAAAAAAAAATAAAAATAATAAAAAGAAGGACTGTGAGGGTGCCTTGAGATTGAGCATTGCTTCAATTGGTTGTACCTACGGTCCTTGTGGCTTGGAATCATCTCAATGCAGCCGAGCAGCAACAGCAACAAAATAAAACACCCTTGTAGAGAATGTTTCATGTGTGTGCTGTGTGAAGTTCAGTGCCCAGGATGTCATCTACGGGGTAACTAACAAGTTCCAGGACCGGTGTGGTTTTGTAAGGATCCAGCGATAGCTGTGCTCACCCGTACAAGCTCACAGAAGCAGAGTTAAGTCACAATTTTATTAAGGCGCAGAATTGCTTCAAAAGAAATGAAGCGGGTCCTTCTCTCAAAGTGAGAAGGAAACCTTAAGCATAGCTAAGATACTCTTCACTCTGGAGGAGAAGGGTATTCTAGTTTGAAAACTCCATTTTCAACGGGGCGAGGGTTGCTCAAATTAGTTGCTCAGTTCTTCCTTGAGTCTCTTAATTTTATCTCGGCTCCAGCTTTGGGTCAGCATACTTTCAGATTTATCTCTAGGTACTGTCTTGTGTTATGATGTTCACTGTGGCCTGGCTTCAAGGTTCAGGTATTGTAGCTACTAAGCCTGTTCTGACAGGAGCCTTTGCTCATTCTCCTAGTGGACAGTGCAGAAGCGACTATTCTGTCCCTGACATCCCAGAATTCAGGGTAAGCTTTGGGCTGGATTCCTGGGTGTACACATAGAATTTAAAGTAATAAGAATTCCTACTAGCAAAGATTGGCAATACATTGAAAAGGAACCTGAGGATCTAGTCTACGGCCACTTGGGCTCTTTGAAATTGAGATGAGCTAGCTGATCAGATTCCCCGGCACAATGCCTCTAAGGTAAGGTAATCTTGAGTACTACATTTCCCAGAATTCTCTCCGTCCCGTGGTTCCGGGTTAGCGCGGCCAATGAGGTCCCGCGAGATGTAGAAGGCGGAAGTGAAGCGGAAGCCATTACACTAGGGAGGCCGTAGCCGCAGGACACATGGGTAGGGGGCTTCACGGGCGCTGTGGGGCGCTTCTCCGCTTCTCTGCGGTAAACAGGGATCTTCCGTATGAACTTCTCGGCCCTTCGGCGGCGGGTTCCGGAACCTCTGCTTCCCCTGTTCTGCCCCAGTCGCGTAAGCTCCGCTTTACTCGCTTAACCCCTCATCTCCCGCGTTCCTAAGGATGTCCGGGGCTTCGAGGCAAGGAGGAGGAAGGGGGACCCGCAGCCAGCGGAGAGATGTGCTTTAGACGCTGGGGATCAGCGCTCGGAAACGCTGATGATGCGACGACCACGTCCGGCCTATGCAGTCAGGGATGTGAGGAAGCACTGGTCAAAGAACTGCCTTTGGGGTGGCGGCTGGGAAAGCCTGAAACCGCCCTTTGCCTTGCTCTCAGTTTCACCTCATGCTAAAAAGCCGCACCGATCTTTTTTTGTCTCCAGCAGCCTGCCAGACATGAGAGTTAATCTACGAATAGCTTGTGTTGGCTTTTATCTCCGAGCTTTTACCATTTATCCATTTCACCTTTTTAAAATTGGGAACTAGAACTTTCATGGAAAAAAACAAAAAAAGCACAACAGAAACTGATTCCGTATGAACGTGATACACAATAAAAACCCAAACCAAACTCAACGGCTGTGGAGTCGGTTTCCCGTCAGAGTGAATCTATGGGACAGTGGAACTTCAGACACTGTAACTCTACAAGATTCGAAGTTCTCATTTTTCTCCTGGCCCCAGGCTGGTGGTTTCGAACTGCTGACCTCAGGGTTCACAGCCCAATGTGTAACTACTACAGCACCAGGGCTCCTTAAACAATTAAAATGATACCAATGAAGTAAATTCACAACTCTGGTCAAACCCACTGCCATCGAGTCCTTTGGACTCACCCACCCTATGGGATTGCGCCTTTTAGGCTTCCTAGGCTGTAACTTTAATGGGAGCAGACAGCCTCATCCTTTTGCAGAGCCATTGGAGGCTCCCAACCGTTAACATTGTAGTTAACAGCCCAAGCTTCTGGACAGCGCTGCCAGGGCCCCTTGGGAACTAGGCCAAGATATTAAATCCCAGAAAGCTATGTACACCTTCCAATTCTGCATGCTCCTGATTTTCTTACGTGTGTTTTCCCAAAGATAAATGTACTATTTTTGACAGTCATTAGTGATGGGAAGAGCCTCTTTGGCATTGTGGTTATCATTTGGCTGCTAACCTTGAAGTCAGCAGGTCAAAACCACCAGCTGCTCCCCAAGAGAAAGATGAGGATTTCTACTCCAGGAAAGAGTTATGGCTTTGGAAACCTATAGACAATTCTATTCTTTTCTGTCACATTGTCATGAGTCAAAATCAACTCGATGGCAGTGAGTTTGCTTTTGTTTGTGCTTGAAATCACTTTCAAATTTATCCACATCAATTCACTTACAGTGAAAACATATGCCACAATTTACTTGCCCATTCTACTATAGGTGGGCATTTGCCCAATTAACACCTTCTCATTGAATAATGTTGCCATCAATATTTTTGTGTCGTGGTATCTGTGTCAATGAGTCTGTGCAGGGTTGGTATTCTGGTTCACAGAGTCTATTTTAACCGTTAAATTTAAACCGCAAATTAGTCACAATTGACACAATGGCAGAGAGTTTGAATTTGAGACATCTCAGAGTGATCTGTGGTGTGTCCAAGATGACTAGGACATCTTTACTGGAGCACACAGCCTCATCTTTCTTCTCAAGAGCGGCTGGTGGGTTTGAACCTAAGCAAAATGTTTTTCTTTCTTTTTTCCAAAATGTTTTTCTTTGGGTTGAGTGATTATGTGAGTAATGAATGTGTAGTTATAACTACAGTTATAACTATGGTTGTTGTTAGTTTTATTGCTTTTGATTTTTTTTATTCTAGTTTGATTTCCACACTTCAGAGCTTAATCCATCACAAAATGTTTTATGTGCATGATAATCGCCAAAGGTTCAAATTTATTTTTGTTTTTCCTCATATAATGCCACCCATAAATCATGTTTCACGTATTGTTTTCTCTTGGTCAATGTGATTATTCCTGTAGCAGTACAGGAGTACAAAGGTTTAATCAATTCAGTAATTTTTAAATTTAGAGATTTCTAAATATCTTAGAGACAAATTATGTACACCTAGCTATTCTTCTCAGGAACATTGTGACCGTTCCCTAGCCTTTTGTTCTTCCATATACATTTTTGTCAGCCTTACCAAGCTCTGCATCCCAGGATTTCCTTTCAAAATTATGTTGAATCAAATGATGAATCTCAAGGAAACGGCATTTCCCCCCCACTGAGTCTATTCATCTACATCTTCTATAATGTCTTTCAAGTTTGTAAGCATCTGCAGAAGGGATTTAAATTGTATTACTTGATTTATTATATTTTTAGGAATTTTGGTCTGCTAAGGCAGTGGTTATCAACCTTCCTTATGCTGCGACCCTTTACTACAGTTCATGTTGTGGTGACCCCCCCAACCATAACATTATTTTTGTGGCTACTTCATAACTGTAATTTTGCTACTATTTTAAGTCGGGCAACCCCTGCGAAAGGGTCATTCAACCCCCAAAGGGGTCACAACCCACTGGTTGAGAACCACTGTGCTAAGGGGTTCTGGTGGCATAGTGATGACAGTATAGGCTGCAGTCTGCAAGGTCTGCATTTCAAAAACACCAGGCCCTTCAAGGGAGAAAGATGGGACTTTCTACTGCCTTAATGAGTTACAGTTTTGGAAACCCACAGGGACAGTTCTGTGCTCTTGATAGGGCTGCTGTGAGTCAGGCTTGACTAGATGGCAGTGAGTTTGGTTTGGGTTTTTAAGGAGCCCTGGTGGTGTAGTGATTACAGGTTGGGCTGCTAACTGTGAGGTCAGCAGTTCAAAACCGCCAGCCCCTCTGAGGGAGAAGGAGGAGGCTTCCTATGCCTGTGAAAAGTTAGTCTCAGAAACCCACAACAACAGTTCTACCCAGCCCTGTCCCATTACCATGAGTCACAATTGACATGGTATTATCTAAGAAGTAGTACGTCTTTTTCTGCCTTATGTATTGAGTTTGGGTCTGGACAGGTGGCTGTAACCTGTTATTAATTCATTATGTTAATGTATGTGTTTGTTTGTTTTTTAATTTTCTTAGACAATATTCATCTGTATAAAATAACTACATATTTATATTTTCCCTTAACATCATACATATTTGCTATATTTTTATTTCAGGACAGGCAGGTTCTTCTGGTTTCATTGATTAGAATTTGGATTAGAAACTTTAGACAGTCTTATTTTCACTCTGATCTTAAAGGGAAATGATGCATCCTGGAGAATCCTCTACCCCCTTTGGGGTAAGATATATATAAAAAAAGATAGACATCTTCATTTTTTAAATGTATAGGTCATGACATTGACTAAATTCATCATATTGTGCTACAATCACCACTGTTTATTTGCAAAAGTTTACATCACCCCAAATACCTTTTTAAAAAATAATACTAAAATATATATGATCTTTATTAGAATAAAGACAGTTCCTTTCCTTGTTATCATTAGAGTTGGTCATTAGTGTAACTAAAAAATATATATGGAATCCCAAGGAAACCGTTAGTATTGTTAACTGAAAGCTTGGAAGTTCAAGTCTACCCAACGGACCTGGAAGGGGAGGGTTGGTGATCTACTACTGAAAATCAGTCACTGAAAGCCCATACCTATTACATAGTCATCAGTCAGCGTATACTGTGTAGAAACTGATGAAAAGAAATAGACATATCCCAGAAGACATCAGAAAGTTTATGGAATTGAAGGGCAATAGATTTTTCCAGGACCCACTTGAAGCCTATATGTGTATACCATACACAAACCAAAACAAATTAACCTGCTACCCTGTTTCCAAGGCTGCTAAAATGCGTGCTTTCCTTTGCTTTTTGTATGCTTTTGAACAGTTTTCTGGGTTTATGTCTTTCTTCCTTTATTGTGTCTGTTAAAGCTTAATTTGTCTGTGGGTCGAAATTCCCTCAAATCATTGTTTTGCCATTTCTTGATTGGTAGTTTGATATTAATAGGTTTATATGTAGATAGCCATTTCAGAACCAGGAAGACAGTCCATAGTCTTCTGGCTTCCATTGTTGCTGACAGAAATCAACTGTCAGCCTAATTAGTGCTCATGTTTGTAAAGTTGTTCATACAGCATGACCACCAGGTCAGCATCACTTGGCAACTTGTTAATGGCAATCTCCTAAAATTTTACATTTTTGGACCCATCCCAGATCTACTGAATCAAGCTCTGGGGCTATAGCCCAGCAGTGTAGGGATTTTGTTTGTTGGATTTTGTTTGGTGTTTTTTAGGTTGTGGTTGTTGTTTTTCTCCCTGGAGGACGGCGGGTAATTGTTTGAAATGTGATTTTTTAAAACCATACTCAGCTTGAAGGGTAATGTAGTTATGTTAATAGGGCAAAAATAACTTTGAGAAGAGGAGTGAAAATGGTTGCATTGGTAAATTGTGCTGTTTGAACATAAATAATTTTAAAAACACTCCATGTGATTCTCTTGCAATTTCAAGTATGAGAACCACTGCTTTAGAGATTTATCTGCAGTTCTTGGCCATTGATTTTCTCCGGTTTCACTATAACTGTGTCTAAGTGTGGATTGATTTATCTGCAGTCTCTATATCTTATCTCTCAAATGAAAAAATCAGAGTGCCTGTGTTTTGTAGTAATTGCTTATGCACCTTCCCCACTCTCCTCACTTCTTCTGGAGTGCTGTTTAGAAATAATGCAGCCCTATTCCTCAGTTTATCTTGACTCTTAAGTAGCTTTAGTACTTCGCATATCTTTGTTTCTTTGTGCCATTCGCAAGTTTATCCTCTAGCACAGTGTACAGATTTCAGCTCGCATAAATGCCACATACACAGTTTGTGAGAATATTTGTCAGCCCACCTCAAAAATACTCATTGAGTTGGACGTGGAAGAGATGTAGGCATGAGAATTATACAGAGCTCCCCAGCTGGATTATGCATTCATTTGGCTGCTCACCACAAGAGGAGACTTTCTGCTCCAGGGAAGGCTGAGAGCTCCAGAAATCCAAAGAGGCAGCCCTCTGTCCTGTAGGGTCACTATGCGTTGGAATCAATTCAGTGACAGTGAGTTTACTTTGTCCACAATCTGATGTTGATGCAGCTAGTCTGTGGGCACTGGGTAACACTCTTATGGGACAAATTCTCTTTCTGACTGTAATCTGCTGCTAAGTCTATTCATGTAGGTTTTTGGTTTTTACTTTCCATTTTTATTTCAACACTTGTCATTTTCCTTTTAGAAATTGTGATTTTTTTCCCCACAACCTCAGTGTTAATGCATTGCCAGGGCCACTGTTTGTTTGTTTTTTTAAGTGTTACCTATTTTATATTGTACTGTAAAGTCATTTTACGTGCGAGGTAGAATCAGGTTGCACCTTGAAAACACAAGTCTTAGTCTACCCATTTAGCCCTTGAGATATTTCATCTAATTCATCGAAAGCTTAAAAGATAAGGAGTATATAGAAATATTCAAGTGGGAATCAACTCAATGGCAGTGGGTTTGAGTGGGCATAACACACTTCTGGACTATCTGAGGAAATAGTACCTATTCCCCCAAAATAAGACAGTGTCTTATATTAATTTTTGCTCCCAAAGATGCACTAGGTCTTATTTTCAGGGGATGTCTTATTTTTCCATGAAGAAGAATACGGTACATATCTATTGTTGAACAACGAAAAAAGGAAATTTATTACCTGTATACAGTATGGTAGTAGTTGTCATCACAAACCAGCATAACCAGACAAACTGTGACTCCTACAATATCAAGAATTTCTTGTTACTCCTGCCCCGTGAGACTCACTGTCTAATTGTGAGTCAGCCAGTCTCAGTCAGGGCAGAGCGATCAGCAGGTGGCAGCTTGTCCTGGGGGCAGCATAGGCTCTCTAATTAAAAGAGACCTCACACTTCCTGTGTCCTCCGGCTGCACTGTGGCCAACAGTGAGCTGCGCAGCTGCGCCCACCACTACGGTCCAGAGTTACAGTAGCTTCCAGGGGGCCTTTCTATCGGAGAGGCCTTATTTTCAGGGAGAATGCCTTATATTTCAGCAAGAGGCAAAACTGTAAGTAGGTCTTATTTTCGGGGGATGTCTTACTTTCGGGGAAACATGGTAGTAGACAGTGTTCTCATAAGTTATTTTATCCGTCTTTTTGAACAACACTGATAAGAATAGTTTTATCAAGGGCAGAAATATCAGTGAAAGTAATAATCAGTCTTTCGATAACATTTTTAGAGATCTGCAGATTTTAACTATTCTGAGATAATGTTATAAAATTGAATGATGACCTCAAAATGTAATCATGTGCGAACAGTTTTAAAGGGTAACATTTGTTGTGTACCATCCCCTCTACTCCTGCACGGCCTCTTCCACCATCACCACCACCACCACCACCACCACCACCACGCCAAAAAAGAAAGAAAGAAAAAATGTAACTAGACAATCAAATCTTACATAATGTGAGAAGCAGGACTGGGACTCGGGTGAGAAGTTATTCTCAGCCCTGAATCTGGACACTTGTTTGCCGCTTCTTTGTCTAGTCCTTGATGAGAAGAAAATGATCCTAGTGTAAATAAGGCAAGGTTTGCAGAAATTGAAGCATGAAAGTGTTCTCCAGACAGACAGGCCTCTTTTGCTTTTGCTGTATTCAGTGTTGGACCCCCAGTGACTGGCATGGTGCCTGCAGAATAGGAAAACACTGCATGGAAGACGGGATAGATAACAAATGAATTAACCCACATTTATCTTCACACTGAGAAGGCCTAACGTGGCACTTCGGTAGAGTCACAAGGGAAGTTTTCTGTGGATTTGGGCAGTCTGGTAGTGTAGTGGGTTAAGCGTTGGGCAGTTAGAAACTACTAGCCACTCTGGGGGAGAAGGATGAAGTGTTCTACTCCTTTAGAGATACGGTCTTGGAAACATCCAAGTGCAGTTGTCTCCTGTCCTGTAGGATTGCTATGGGTCAGAATCAACGTGGTGGCAGTGAATTGGGATCCTCTCAGAAGGTTCTGGGAAACTAATGGTAATCCAGTTATTAAGACACAGCCTGCATTGAATGTTCCTGAGCTCCACTGTCCATCACAACCCCCATGGAGGGTCAGGGCCTAGATCATTTGGGTGTAACATTCACTGTATTAGGCCAGGTTTACTAGAAAAACAAATCCAGAGATACCATTACATGAGAGCTTTAGATCCAGAAGTAATTATATATCGATAAAACATCCCAGCCCAGTCCAACTCAAGCCCATAAATCTGATAATAGCCCATAAGTCCCTCTTCAGACTCATGCAACCATATGCAATGATACCGAATGCAGAAATATCGCAGACTGGTGGGTGCAAAGTTGTGTGGATCCAATGGCGGAGGTAACATCACAGAACTCTGACAACTTTCAGAGTGACCCGCAAGCAGAAGATGATAGCAGAGCGTGGTGGGCAGGGAGGTAGGGTGTATTGATTTTATCCTTCATAGCTAGAGCTATAATTGGTTTTTATGTGTTTGGTGCTTAAGGTTCAGATAGCGCTTCCTCATGTGGTTATCTAGTTTTCACAGCAATATTTACTGAAAACATCTTCGTCTCCCCACTGTGAACGACTGTACTGCCTTTATTATGGGTCAGATAACAGTTGGCAGCATGGTTTCTTGCTCTGATGCAGTGGCTGCTTCATAATAGGTCTTGGTAATTCAGTTAGCTTAGTATGCCCTCATTAATGCTTTAACTTATTGACCATTGGGCTTTTCACACATTGTTTAATTATTTTGGAAATTTCTTTAACAAAATTTTGTTTTGTTTTGAACCACTCTTTGTCACCATGACTTAATCTTGCTTCGTCTGAGTTTTAAATAAGAACCCTAGTGGCACAATGGTTAAGTGGCAGCAAATCTAAAGGTTGGCAGTTTGAGCCCACCTGTGACACTGCAGGAGAAGACCTGGGGACCTGATTCCATAAAGATAACAGAATTGGAAACCCTGTGGGACAGTTCTTCTTTGTCAGTGGGCCCATACCGTGAGTCAAAATAGACTAGACAATTCCTAAGATCAATATATTTTATATAAATAGAAAGATGCTGGCAATGACTATTGAGACCAGAAAACACTAAAGGAAGAGCAGATCTATGTGAGAAATTTTGTGGAGGCTGTTAGTTAGCAGTGGAAGTAGGATCTGGAGGTCAGATGTGGCCTTCATACTGGAGCACGGGTGTTAGATTTAAGAGTTGAAGTTAGGAATTGGATATAGATGCCTTGGCAGAACATTTATTAAAACCAACTCCAAACTCACTGCCATTTAGTCATTTCTGACTCAGAGCAACCCTATAGAACAGAATAGAACTGCCCCTGTGAGTTTCTGAGAGTAACTCTTTAAAGAAGTAGAAAGTCTCATCTTTCTCCCATGGAGCAGTTGACGGTTTTGAACTGCTGACCTAGTGGTTAGCAACCCAACATGTAACCCACTACAATACCAGGACTCCCCTGGCAGAACATAGAGCATGAACAGTTCCCTAGTTATTTAGGTCATTCATTTTTCTCAGTAGTGTTTTGTAGTTATATCTAGGTCTTACATAGGTTTCATTTGACCTACTTCTAGATATTTGATATATTTTATGCTGCCACAAGTAGAACTGTTGTTTTTTTTTTAAATAGAACTGTTTTAACATTTCATTTTTAATTCTCTTGATGAGGTGCCTTTTAAAGTCATAATTACTATAAAGTGCAATGAATGGTTATTTGCCAAAGTGGGGCAATACTAAGAATGTTTGAGGTCTAGAAAACAATAGTTGTCTTAGGGAGATTGGTTTGTTTAATACCCCTTACTGTAGACACCTTTGGAGTCAGTTATTGGAGTTTCCCAGGGGACCAAATGACTGACTGATACTTACATTCAGACAGGAGGCAGATGGTTAGGATTATTCAGGAGTTTTGTTCTCTTTTCTTTTACAGGGGTGATAATAGGCAGAAGAATGAAGGAATTTATTGAAGATATTTATGAATCACAGCTGGATAAGTGGAACAATGAGAAGAGGTAAGTTGGGAGCAAGGTTTTGGAAGAATGGGTGGCCTAGAATTCTCTCTGGTTGAAGAGTTAATGTGAGAAGAAGGTTGTGGGGGAGGTGTTTCTAGAGGGAAGATTTCTTGGTCATTATCTGGGCAGATTTCAGTGAAGACCAAGTCTGTGCTGTAGTCAAATGCATGTATAATTGGTGCGGAGTGGGGTGAGGCAGAGGGCTTTGGAGATGGGACCCTCCTACTTGAGGGTTTCCTAAATGATGGCAGGCAATGAGAACACAGTGTGCAAGAACATCTTTAATGAGTGTGGGAGTGCAACATAATTGCCCTTAGTGATAAAACCCTTGGAAAGAAGAACTACTGAAACTTAGTTGAGGTAGCCTAGGGACCACACCACACAAGCTGGAGGTTTTACTTAAGTAAAATGAAGGTCTCATATTAGACGATGCATGAAGATAAGATAAGAGAGATAGGACTAGTAGCCCCTATTATTATTTCAAGGAGCCCTTGGCACAGTGGTTAAGCATTCACCTGTTAACTGCAAGGTCAGCCATTTGAACCCACTAGCAGCTCCATGGGAAGATGTAGCAGTCTGCTTCCATAAAGATTACAACCTTGGAAACCCTATGAGGCAATTCCAACTCTGTACCTTAGATTCTAAATTAAAAAAATAACAATGACCTTACAGGACAAGGTAGAACTTCCCTTGTGGGTTTCTAAGACTACAACTCATTGTAGGAGTAGAAAGCCTTGTCTTTCTCCCAAGGGGCCACCTGGTAATTTCAAATGCCTGCCCATGATATTAACAGCCCAACTCATAACCACTAAACCACCAGGGTTCCAGCTTACAGGGTCGATATGAAGAGGAATCGACTTAGTGACTATTTTTTTAAGATCATTTTATTGGGGGGTCATAAAACTCATTACAATCCATACATCAATTCTATCAGACATATTTGTACATATATTGCCATCCTGCTTTTCTAGACACTGACTTTCTATAGAGCCTCTGGGATCAGCTCCTCTTTTTTCCCTCCTACCTCCCCCCCACCTTTTTTTTTTTTTTTTTAATTCTTTCTCTCATTTACTACAGATGCCTATTTATAGAGGAATGAGAAGAAGAGGAGCTTTCTGATTCCATGATTGTCCTGTTGTTGGGTAGATTTCTAGTCATTTTCACAGGATGGCAGCTCCTGGTCTGTCTCCCGTAACTGGTAAGTTCTTGAGGCACCACACTCCCTTAGAAGTCAGCGTACCTGACTTCCGTTCCACAGGAGAGTTACTCAGCTCATTGGGGTGCTCAGCTATACAGAGGGCTGTCCAGGGAGGTTCGAGGAGCGAGAGAGGGGGAGGAGCTAAGTCACAGGAGCCCCTGGAGGATTTGTGTTCAATTCAGGCCTTTGTGGATTTGGAAAAGGATGGCGTGTGTGTGCTTGGTATATGAGGGAGCAGATAATGAGTTACACCACAGATAATAAGTAACCCCACATTATCCTTTTACTGTTTTATTTAGATTTTTACTTTTTTTAATTATGAATTAGGTGACTATTGTTTTTCATAAACCTGAGCAAAGTAACAGTTTCACTTCTCAGAAATCCACTTTCTGAACCTTTAACCTGTGCCTGTATATCAGTCCTCACCACGCTGTCTTTTTGACTTTGCATGCCATAGGACTAGCCTGACATTCCCTGTGTGTGTGTGTGTGTGTGTGTGTGTGTGTGTGTTTATGTACATCTTTGTGTGTGTTGTAGGTATGAATGCTTATTGTTAGTGATTAGCAAGTGTTGACATATTGGACAGACTTTGTTTCTCTTGTCTCCTTTCTTCTCCACTAGTTGTGTCTACTCGGGACCCTGTTTGTCTCCAAGAATTGGAAATTCCTCTTTCTTCAAAAGACTGTTCGTGTCCCCAGAGTGTGGATCTGTATCCTTGCAGTGTCTTGGAGCCTCAAAGCCCCATGGGGGCTAGTTCAAAGGTACCCCAAGATATCAGGGTTCTTGCTTGTAGACAAAGAACTGCCCCAGAGGTCCCCACTATCATATGCTGAGGACTCCATTCAATTCTCCATCCAGGAGAATGACACTTAATCAGGGTGCAAGAGGAAGAGCCCAGGAATATCATGAAGATATCCTGGACTCAAGAAAGGGGAAATAACTTATGTACAAAGAGCTTGTATAATGCTCAGGCCCACGCTGGATATTAGAGGCAGAGCCAGAAGCTCTTGGGTCATGCTAGAAGTGGAAATGGAAATTTAGTTTTGTGTCAGAGGTGCATCTGAAGTAATGAAATAGGACAAGATCACCACATGGGGAAGAGAAAATTTCTGAGTACCGAGTTGTAGAATAAAACCAAAGATTACAGAACCCTGTCTGAAAACCCTTCATGTTAGGTCTCTCATGCCATATCATTAGCCTCAGCTATTTTTCCTGTGAACATTGGTAGGCTGGCTTCTCATTGACCCAGTATGTGATATTTTAGGAGTCGGTGACTTTCCAGGATGTTGCTGTAGACTTTACTGAGAAAGAGTGGCCTTTGCTGGATTCTTCTCAGAGAAAACTGTATAAAGATGTGATGCTGGAAAATTATAGCAACCTCACTTCAGTGGGTAAGGCTGGTGTCATTTCTATATTTATTGAGTGATTTCTTATGGAACTTACTATGACCCAGGACCATTGTGAGGATTCAGAACATAATTATAAAGAAGCGGGACTGGTTCCTATCCCTGGTGTCTCACCATAGATACTGAACCCTGTCCATTGTGTACGCTTGGAAGGTTTTCACTTGTGTGTGAGCTTGAACATGGGTTTCTGAGTTAAGAAACCCCCATTCTTTTAGAAGACTAAATGTGTGGGTAGTTACAGTTTTTTGTTTTTTATGAAAGATCTTTGCTGTATTTCTTTTAGAAATTTACCATCACCATTTTGCTGCTCCCAAATCAAATTTGTCCATCTGCACTGTTGATTCTAGTGTGATGGAAAGGTTTGTCCTCTGGTTCATTTCCACTCAACATGTGTCTTTCCCTCTGAATAGGATATCAGCTTGGCAAGCCCAGTCTTATTTCGCACTTGGAGCAAGAAGAGGAACTTAGGACTGAAGAGAGGAGAATTCATCAAGCCACCTGTCCAGGTGAGCGCCAGGCAAATGGAATGTGTTCTTTTGGGTATCAGCTGTATTCAGTGATTTGGTGAGATACATTATCAACCAGGAAATTCAAAAGTGCTTCTTTTGCTGTCCCTGTATTCTCTTAGAAGTACCATGGTCTCATTGTCCCTTCACCTTTATAGTTGATGTTTTTGGCTCAGTCTTTCATACTTTACATTTCTGATCACACTGTCTTTCATCAGTGCCAAACTTTGAAGAATCTTAATGAATTTAAATTTCTAGTCCTTTTATTACACTTCAACCTGAAGAAAACAAAAATCCTCACACCAAGAATAATAAACAATATAGCACTGTAAATGAAGAAAAGGAATTATCCAGGAAGTAACAATTACCCATAGAAGTAACAATCAATAAATAAAATCTTGTTGCATTGGACAGATCTGCTGAAAAGACTTCTTATTGAAAGACAAATATGTCATTTTGGGAATTAAGGTGCCCCTCACCCAAGACTTGGGATTTTATGTCACATCATATGTATACAAATCTGGACATTGACTAAGGAAAACCAGAGGAGTATTGTTTTGAGTTATGGTGTTGGTGAAGTCTATTGATTATACCAGGGAGTGCCAATGAATGAGTACCTCTGTCTTAGATAAAGTACAGCTGGAATGCTCAGATGCAGAGATGATGAGACTTTATCTCACATCCTTTGGACATGATTTCAGGAAGGACCACTCTCTAGAGAAGGTCACCATGCATAGTGGGTCGAAGGTCAGTGAAAAGGAGAATATCTGTCAACATGATAGCTAGACACAGTGAGTGGCTTTAACAATACTTGTGAGGTGATGCACTGTCAGGCAGTAGTCATTCTATTATAAGAGGGATTACTGTGAGTTAATTTGATGATATCTAACACTAATAAAATCCTTGCATAGTGATTAAATACTCAGCTGTTAACCCAAAAGTCTGCAGTTCAAACCCATTAACCATTCTATGGGAGATATTATTTAGATATCTGCTTCCATAAAGATTACTGTCTTGAGAACCCTACTACTGAATCCTACATGGTTGTCAAGAGTTGGAATCAGCTTGATAGCACTAAACATAAATCTCACACAGCTAAATGCTTACAGTCCTTTTTGCTCATGTTTTTGTGTGACTTTGTTTCCCTTGCACATTAATTCTTCATGTTTTTGGTTGTATTTGTCACACACACACACACACACACACACACACACACACACGCACCTAAAATAAACATTTGTTTTGGCACCATCCTAATGTTTTTATTTCCTGGCAATTTAATATTTTTTTCATTTTGTTTCAGATTGGGAGATGACATCTAAAACAAGATGGTCAATTCTTATGGAAGATATTTTTGGGAAGGAAACCTCCAATGGCATGACAGTGGTAAGAAATTCTTAGGATAATTATTCCTGATCTTCCACATTAGGAGAAGATTGAGACTGTCTTAAGCTAGACAAGCAAGTCAAAAGCTAAGAAAGTCCATGGAAGCAAGTGGTATACCCTAGGAAGAAATAGTATCTCAGAGACAATCTTATAAGCTTAGGGGAAAAAACCTAAATGTAGTCCACACTTCTTCAGTTTGAGCTCTAATGAGCAGTTACTTCCATAACCATGCCTTCAGGTATTAAGCATTTGCCTTGAACAATTTTGAACAGTTACCAAATTTTTATAATTTTACCAAGTTGTAAAAAGCCTTGCCGACTTACCGTATATACTGAAGTATAAGCCGACCTAAATATCAGCCTAGGCACCTAATTTTACCACAAAAACTGTATTATAATGTGCTGGAAAACTTGTCTTATACACAAGTATATATGGTAGCTAATGTGGCAGACCCTTATATCATAGCATTGACTTGTTTCAATTGATAGGTCACAGATGGAACAGGAACAGAACATTTGCTCTGTCGATGATGGCTGTTTTTAGTCTTCATTCATAGAGGAAATTCTAGAGCAAATATTCTGTAAATATGTTTCCTTCCTGTTCATATCAGTTTATGTGGAGAGAACTTTTATAAATTTGATGAATATTGGGATGTTTTACTCAGCACTCATTGCTTTAATCAACAGGAAAGAACTGGACTTGGTGAGAAACCCACTGAATATGCTCACTTTCTTGATGTCTTCAGCATGGAGGCTCACATCACCCAGCAGATGGGACGGCACAATGGGAAAAGGCCCTATCACCGCCATAACTATGGGGCAGGCTTCAGGGACAGATCACATCTCACTGAACACATGAGTATTTGCAGTGGAAGAAATATGTATGAATGCCATCATTGCCCAAAAGCCTTCACCACAAGGTCTTCGCTCACCCGCCACAAGAGGATTCACACTGGAGAGAAGCCCTATGAATGCAGTGCCTGTGGGAAAGCCTTCAATGATCCATCAGCTCTTCGAAGTCATGTGCGAACTCACACCAAAGAGAAGCCCTTTGACTGCAGTCAGTGTGGAAATGCATTTCGCACACTCTCCTCTCTGAAGATACACATGCGAATACACACCGGGGAGAGGCCTTATGAGTGTGACCAGTGTGGGAAAGCCTATGGCAGAAGCTGCCACCTTACTGCACACAAGAGGACGCACACTGGAGAGAGACCCTATGAGTGTCATGACTGTGGGAAAGCTTTCCAGCATCCTTCACACCTTAAAGAACATGTCCGGAATCACACTGGTGAGAAGCCCTATGAGTGCACACAGTGTGGCAAAGCGTTCCGCTGGAAGTCTAACTTTAACTTGCACAAGAAAAACCACATGATAGTGAAAACATATGAATGTAAAGAATGTGGGAAAGCTTTTGGGGATCTCCTATCACGAAGAAAACATATGCGAATTCATATTGTCAAGAAACCTGTTATCTGTAGACAATGTGGAAAAGCCTTCAGAAACCAGTCAATCCTTAAGACACACATGAATTCCCACACTGGGGAGAAGCCATATGGGTGTGACCTATGTGGGAAAGCCTTCAGTGCAAGTTCAAATCTCACAGCACACAGGAAAATACATACCCAAGAGCGGCGCTATGAATGTGCCACCTGTGGGAAGGTCTTCAGTGATTATTTATCGCGAAGGAGGCACATGAGTATTCATCTTGTAAAGAAACGGGTTGAATGCAGACAGTGTGGAAAAGCCTTTAGAAACCAATCCACCCTTAACACACACATGAGAACTCACACAGGAGAGAAACCATACGAGTGTGATCATTGTGGGAAAGCCTTCAGCATAGGCTCCAACCTTAATGTGCACCGGAGAATACACACTGGGGAGAAGCCGTACGAATGCCTTGCCTGTGGGAAAGCCTTCAGTGACCATTCATCCCTCAGGAGTCATGTGAAAACACACCGGGGAGAGAAGTTATTTGTATCTTCAATGTGGAAGAGGCTTCAGTGAACATGCCTTTTTAAAGAGAAGTAGAGTCCAGGCTGGAGAGGAACCTTGTAGATATAAAATTGGTCGTAAAAGCTTTGTGGGCTCTCAGTTTATTGGAGTAAAAGAAAGGAGAAACCTAGTATGCATAATGACTGGAAGGTTTGGGTTGTGTCTTACCAATTGGGAGACCTGTGAGAACTGGTGCTGGGAGAAAATGTACATCTGTGATGCAGAGGAGCCTTTAGTGAACATTCATCTCTTAACAAAAAGAAGGACATGGAGAGAACCTCTCACTTGGTACCTAATGTGAAAATGTTTTAGCCACCACCTTGTAACCATTTGGGTATTAGAGTAACACACTAGGAGAAATGAAAGTCATCTTAAATTTAACAACTGGGAAATCTTTATTGGTCTTACACTGTATTCCTCAGGAAAGTGAATACCCTAAATACACACAGAGAGACATAAAGTAAGGACTGTGGGAAAATCTACAGCAAGGGTCTATAAACTGTGACCTTGCCCTGATTTATATGGCCTATAAACTTAGAATAGTTTTTACATTTTTAAAGAAGAATATTTGAAAGAGGCCATGTGTGGCTTACGACACCTGAGATAGTTGTTATCTGGCCTTTATGGAAAAAAACTTTGCCAATCCTTGGTCTGTGGCTGTGCTTCTCTCCACATAAGGTGATGCTATGGTGTAGAAAATAGTGGGTAATGTTTAGAGGTGTTTGGGGTTGTTAAATTGGGAAATGGTGAGGAGATCTGCTACTGGTATCTTGTGGAAAGGCCTCAAGGATGCTATTCCACAATGCACAAGATGTCCCTCAGTGCTGAGAATGGTTAAGCACTCCACAACCTAAAGGTTGCATTCAAATCCACCCAGAGGTTCCTCAGAAGACAGGTCTGGTGCTATGCTTCTGAAAGATCAAAGCCTCAAAACCCCTAGAAGCACTGATTCTCTGCACCTATAGGGTCGCCATGATTTTGAATTGAATCAAAAGCAACTAACAGTAATAATACATAGAATCCCCCTCCCTGACCCCACCCACCCAGCAAAGAATTATCCACCACAAAATGGCAATATTTACGTGGCGAAACCTTGGTCTACAGTAATTCCTCAGTTTTTATAACATGAGTGCTCACACAAGGCACTTTATAAACGTCAGTATAATCATTGTTCCTTTTACAGGCAACTGCAGATAATCTGTATGGTTATAGTTAATGTGGCTTTCAGCCAAAGCGTCTCAATTCTTGTGCAGATGAGAGTTCATACTAGGAGACAGTAAATTTTCCATTGAATGAGATCCCCTTTATTGGTCTTATATCATGAAAATGGGCCTTTGGCTTGTTAGATATTTTTGGTCTTTAAGGTTATGTTCATTTAAACAACCCTTAAGCCTAATCACAAAAGGTTTGTACATAGTATTTTTATTATAACTTCACTGTTGACATGTTTAATCCCCTTCTTGATAACTTAATTGACTAGTGGAATATTCAGAAATGTGTTATGTGCAAGCTTACCTCAGAAATAGTATGGGTGCAGTTCCAAACCCCTGCAATAGAGTAAATGTTGCAATAAAGCAAGTCAAAACTCATATTTGGGTCTCCCAATGCATACAAGTTATGTTTACATTATACATAGTATACTCCATTAAGTGTGGTAGCATTATGAGAAAGTTTGGAATATTGTGAGACATACCACAATTTGAACCAGACAACATGTACACTTGGATGTTGGGCAAATGGCACTAATAGACTTACTTGACATGAACTGTGTAGCATGTGGGTATATTTAGTGCCTGATATTGGTATCTAAAGGCACTGATGAAAGCATAATGTTTATTACATCACATGTACCCTCTGGTTCATTTGTTTCCCATATAGCCAACAATGGCATATACTGTCTAGTTTCCCCAGTACTCACATCTTCCATATCAAGATATCTACTATTTGTCAGGTAAATAAACTATACTATTTTTAAATTTCCATCTTACAGGTTCTCTTGCACCCCATATAGTATTCATCTGTCCCAGTCTAGGCGATTGACAAACGGGTCACTGTATGGGCTTCTGCGTAAGTTTTTGAAAAGGGATCAGTTTTACCAGGAATCGTCTCTCTCAATGTCTTTTCTTTTTTTAAATCTTTGACTCTTTACTCCCAAACCTGAAAAGAGATCCAATAGCTAGTGTTGAAGGATCTGTCACGTGACCATCAGGATGAACACACTGGCTAAAGAGCGCACTGCAGGAAAGTCACAATGACTGTCCTCCCCAGTAGTTTCTTTGGCTATATGCACTAGCCCTAGACCTATAATTTCTGGTTCCCTCTTACATTAGGGGGGGTGGGGTGGGGTGGTAAACTGATGACAGCTTTCAGCTGTTGTGGCAGCTGTTATTTTTTATTTTGCTTATCTGGGGTTGTTCTATACACCCATTTATGCAGTTCTTAACAAATAAACTTGGCCATTGATTAGCTATTACAACTGTTCCATATGTGGATATGAACTGCATAAACATTAATTTTTGGATTTTTTAAAACCTTGTCGAGACAGTTCTGACTAAGAGGCCCAATAGGACAGAGTAGAACTTTCTCAAATGGTTTTCCAAAGCTGAGCTTTATAGAATCAGACTGCGACATTTTTGAAGTTTGTAAGTTGAACTGCTAACCATTCTCAACAGTCAAGTGCTTAACTACTTACCACCAGTACACCTTAATTGGTCAGGGATTTTTTTTTTAATTATTCCTTAAATTAACCTTTTAGATTGTACTTCAAATCTTTATTGATATCTGAGTTCATTATGTTCTTTGCCTATTGTTTGCTTATAGGTGTATCAGTCTTGACAAAAGTTCTGGATCCAAACAACATCTCCATTTTGTTTATGAGAATGTAAGAAAGTTTAAGTTCAGTAGCTTGAAAGCAACCTGTTAGCAAGTAGTAGTACTTGGATTTGAACCCAGGTGTCTGGCTTCATAGTCTTTAATTCTTTTATGCCACACACTATTCTTCTGTACCTTGCATCTATAGCATTGAATCAGTTTAGTAGTCAGGTTGCCCTACATTCCAATTGGGTTTCTGGTGCTTAATGAGCAAATAAATACATTGTATGGCAGATGGTGGGAAATGCACTGGAGGAAAACTAAGATTGATTGTGATGATGTGGTCTAGAGCTTCCAGAGGCAGGGAAAGGCTTTCCGTTATAGAAGGATTTAGAAGAAATCTATGTAAGTGAGTGAATTGTTTTAATGTAACAATCAGGAAGAGCAACCTTGTGTGTTAGTCTGGGTAGACTAAAGAAACAAATTCACAAACACGGTATGTATATAAGAAAGAAGTTTGTATACAAGAGCAATTGGATATTGAGAAAACATCCCAGCTCAGTCCAGATCAAGTCTATAAGTCTGATATTAGCCCATATGCCCAATACCAATCTATAAATTCCTATTTAGACTTATGAAACACATATGATGATGCCTCCACCCGTTTATTCTTAATCCCTCAAGTCCCAAATTGATACCAGATTATGTAATTACCACACCTTGATTGTCCAAAGGCCACAAAAAACTGCTGTGCTTATGTCTTAGTTTCTTAATACTGCTAAACTCGAAGTACCATAAATGAAAGTGGCTATAATGAACAAATCTTATTTCCTCAAATGTGAAGGACACTAGAAGTTTGGATTAAAGGTTCTACCTCTAGCAGAATGTGCTCAGTTACCTCTCGAGGAAAATCATGGTCACCTCTTACTCCCTCCTTACAAAGATATCTGATATTTCACCTTTCTATTTTACATATTATCTATCACCATCTATTCACCATATGTTTTACATATTATCAACATTTATTGGCAGTAAGGAACACTGATGTTTGATGTCAGATTAATTCTGACAATAATGATTATGATTATGTCTTGGCTGGGTTATGGTTCTCAGTGGTTAGATAGTTTGGTTTTTTTAATCATTTTATTGGGGGCTCATACAACTCACCACAATCCATACATACTTCCACTGTGTTAAGCACACCAGTACATTCGTTGCCATCATCATTCTCAAAACATTTGCCTTCCACTTAAGCCCTTAATATTGACTTCTAATTTCCCCCCTCCCCACTCCTCCCTCCTTCACGAA